TGGCTTCAAAGAAACTAAGGTTGGAAAAGTATAAATAGTTCTTGCTGTTGGTGCCTCTGCAGTTTTTTTTTCTTAGCAGATTGTTGTTTTGTGTTGTAACTTACAAATTCTTTTGATTCTTTTTTTTTTTTCCCTTTGTAATAGTAGTAGTTCTGTTTGTGTGCTGTGATGATGTAAAACTTGATTGTACCTTTGTGTTTTTTATATATCATTAATTTTGTTGTGTATCTTTGCCCAAGGCCTGAGCATGCGCTTTGTTGCTTCTTAGGTGATATGCTGTTATTCAGAGATTGTTGAACGTCTAAAGTTTGGTAAAGAAATCATTCATTTTTAATGTTAATGATGTTGGTTTCTCAATAAATTTATATGAATGATTTCAAGAATTTTTCTGTTGCTTGTCTGAGCACAATTGCTCAATATCAAGAACTCGGGCCCTTTGGTAAAAATTCTTGTACAAATTAGATTTTAGATTTTTCTATTTTTTATCTGGTTAATCAAGTTTTATCTCATTGCAGTTAGAAATGAAACAAAAATAATTTCGCAAAAAGAGTAATATTAATTTGATCTTATTTTTTTCCTCTAAAATTTTATTAACACAATTAAAAGCTATTATTATAATAATTATTTTTCAATAAAAGTACAATTTGTTATTTTTATATCATAGAAATTTTAATTGTTTTATTTAATTATCTCAATTCACAATCTCAAATTTATAATTATTTGTTTTTTTTTTCTAAAAACACTTTTTTTTTTCAAATTTCCATCTTTTTTTTTCAAAAGGGATGATGAAAAAAAGGTGACAACAGTATCACTTGGTAAATGTTGCTAGTAGATTTTTTCCAATTTCTGTCTTGTGTCGGCCGACCGCTTCTTTCCAATAGGCGGCTCCTAGGTGGATTGTCGCTGCAGTTAGGTCCCGACTTCTTCAGGCCTCTTCTTCCCTCGTTTGACAATTTTAGGAGCTCAAATCATGACTAAGGTTCTTTATAGCCAATGTTTTCAGTTGGAATTTTGAGTAGTAGGGTCAATTTTTGTAGCTTTTCTGCTTTTGTTCTTGGAGTTGGTTTGTTGTTATTGTGGCTTGTGTGTTGGGCTGTGTTTTTGTTACAGGTTGCTCGCGTAGATTAGGGAATGTAGTATTCTATAGTTAGGTTATGTATGTGTTTAGTTAAATAGTGTGTTATTCTTCACTGGTGTGTGTTTTGTTAGATAGAGTGTTATTCTCCCCTTGTTGGAGTAGGTAGTCTCCACTATTAGGAGCTTCTAGTTTTGTGTGTGGATTAGGCGTCCAACATACTGGCTTCAATGTACCTTGTCGCTGGCGAATGCTTCGATCTCCTCTTCCTTGTGTTTTAGTTTTCGTTTAGCACACTTCTATTAGTGTTTTTTCTTCGGTCCACCTTTTGGTGGATTTGTAAGGCTAGTTTAATGGTGGATTTGTAATACAATCTATCTTTTTTGGGGAAAAAAAAGTTGCTAGAAGAATTTTAAATGCAATTTAATGGCGACTCATCTATATATATATATATATATATAAAGAGGAACAACAAAACATTTAATTTTATTCTCATGCATTAAATTTTATTCTCCCTCCAAAATTTTCAGCATTCAATTTTATTTTTAAGTTACAAAATAACTTGTTTGAATGCCATAAATTATGAGCATAAACCAATCAAGTGAGTTACAAAATTATACTCAAATTTTAAGTCACACCCACTCATGAAAATAGCCGAGTGTATTAACACAAAGAAAATGATTGTAACTGCTCTTCCATAGCAATTACTTGATCAAATTATTTTCTTAATTCATATTTTTTTTCATCAATTAAATTATGATTTATTTTTATTTTTTTTTATATTTTTATGTTTTTAAAATATTCGTCTATGTGCAAATGCACAGGTTAGATTACTAGTTTCAAGGAAAGAGCAATTGACATAAACAGCCCAATAAAAACTTTTACATAAAACCGCCATAAATGCTGTACACCAATTGATTATATTAACAAATTAAAGAATCGAAATGACATTCGAATTCAAGAGCAGTCATTTTGCTGAACGAACTATATACAATTGTTCCACCCAAAGAAGTGCATCATGCATGCTTCACTTCACATCACATACCTTTAAAAAGTCTGCACAAACTTATAACTTAGACCCTGCATTCATCTCTCAATCTGCAGATACAAATCTCCCAGCGCATTATAAAGCGTTGATGCAGCAGGTGGCCGAGGAAATAAACCGAGAAGAATATCCGAGGCACTTATCGATTGGCTTCCGTAGAATCTCGAATTTTCCCGAGCCCGAGTTGTCACCACACTCCCTTCTAGAGAGCACCCGATAAACGCACCTTCATTAGAAAAAAAAAAAGTAAAAAATAAATAAATTATTCTCTTAAAAAATAAATAATAAGATGGAGAAAGGAAATATATTTTAATTTTTAAAGATAACCTTTGCTGCAGCTATATGTATAACAAGAAGCAAAACCACTGAGACCAGCTCGTAAATCAGCTTCGGCTGTACGACCCACGAGTCCTACAGCGGCACTCAGACCAGCTCCAATAGAGAAATGCGCATCACTGCAGAAATTCTTTACTGCATCGTTTGTCCTCAACACGATAATGAAATCCGTTAACTCTCCTCCCGCCTGCACAAAAATCGAGAAATATTATTAAGAAGCTCCACCATAGATTTTACCAATATTCCGAACATTAACAATTTTGTCAGAAATAATTTTAAGTTAAACCTGAGCTCCCCAACCGACGCCAAAGGAAGAAATGGCTGAAGGAGGAGACCACGATCCATCTTCCCTACGAGCAATCACTAGGCCAGTCCCGATATTATAGGTTACCATCATACCAACTTTCACGACTGTAAGTATGGCAAGGCCTTTAGCATCCTTTAGAATGGCTTCAGGGATTCGCTTCTCCGGCCTCAAGGAGCCAACCTAAGTAATCAAACAAAATGCCGAAAAAAAATAAATAAATAAAAATTGTGAGCTTTATATTGTTGGAGAAGGATAACATGTTAGAGAAAGATTCTTGGCCTTTTTTTTCCTTCTGCAAGTGATACTAACCAGCCCTAGGCATCAAATTTCAAAATGGAGGTTTTGATAGGGTAAAGAGCCAAATTTAGCTAAAAAAGGTTACCCAAAGGCCACTTTTTGAACTCACACACCATCACCGCAATTCAATATAGAGAATCCAGAGCTTGAGACTCCTAAAACATTATATCTTTAGGGCTTGCTGGTTTATTAAGTTTTTTTTTTTTGGCTTTTTTTTTATTGGTTTTTTTTTGTTAACCAGGGTTAATTTTGAAAAGAAGATGGGTTAAGTTTGAATGAAATTTTGAGTTTGTATCAAAATGATATTTGAAAAAAATAATTAAAGTTGATTTGATGTAAAAGTAGGAGAGAGATGATGGTTAGTTAAAATTATGTTAGTGGATGAATAATGAATTAAAGTTGATGTAATGTGTAAGAATGATTGATTGGTATTATTAAATTACACTGATAATATGAGGATAGTGGGATTGGTTAAAGTTGAGTTAGATTTTGAGTATGAATTGAATTAATTTATAAACAAACACACCCTAAAATGGAGGTTTTGATAGAGTAAAGAACCAAATTTAGCTAAAACCCAAAGGCCACATTTTCAACTCACACACCATCACCGCAATTCAATATAGAGAATCCAGAGCTTGAGACTCCTAAAAAATTGTATCTTTAACAACTCGAACACAGAACTTGGAGGCAACAATCATTACCTTAGCATAATAACCACGAATCGTGTTTGTAGCCTTGTAAATCTCATACTCCATCGACTGCCCCCAAGGGAAATTCACCCACGACCTCAAAGTGCTCAAATCAGTCAAATCGTGCGTCGGAACTTGCGCCGCCCGACTCACCCTATCCATCAAGTACGGCTGCACAGACTCGAGCCGCACGCAGCACACGTCACAAACTCTCTCTGGATCTCCCGTACGGAACTTCCCAGGCAAAAGGCTCCTCCCTTTACTACAATCCCCGCAAAAGATCCCTCCACAAAACCTACAATGATGCCTCATGCACATGATGGGATGAAAACGCACGTTACAGAGCATGCAGCAAGAAGCTGAGCTGTCGGGCAGCCATTTGGGAGGCTCGGATTCAAGAATCTCTAGGGTGTGACTGAAATTGGCCTCGGTTAGGGTTTGAGCCATTTCCTTCCATGCCTGCTCCATTAGGTGCCTTGATATCCAAGAAACTTGCCCGATGTCCCCTGATGCAAGGGAAGACACTTTTCCTCGTGCAACGAGTAGCATCTCCACAACTATGTCCCACATGGTCAGCTCTTTATCGTTCACGATCAATTGGTTCCAGCCCATATCTTCTTCCGGAATGTACCCGCCGTTGGAGCAAAACCCTCGAGTCCATTCTTGGTGCTCGTTTTCTGTCATGGGGGGAATGGAAACGGGTATCCAGATCCCAGTTTCCTCGTAAAGGGGCGTGTCGTAATAAAAGTACTTCCCATCTTTGTGATTATTGGTATCCGAGTTGCTCGTCTGATTGTCTTCAGCTTCAATATTTTGATACGATATAGCGTCATAAAGATTCATACAGCTCTTTTCGTCATTTTCCGCGAATAATGAAGAATCGTTCGTCTTCTTTGAGAACATTTGTTGAGCCATTGAACCTCCTTTGTCAGTATCTTGGAGAAATTCCATATGGGATTTTTTAGGCTCATTCAGTTGGCTCGGAAGACTGGTTTTTGCATCAGTCTCATCATCCCCATGGTCTTTAAGTAATTCGAGATCCTTTGGTCCATGGGAATTCATTTTTACTTCTCCAACTAATAGAAACCACCAATAGGTGCCTCTGGTTTTTGTGGAGGAAACTGCCCAATCCTAACAATTACAAAACGACAGCAGCTACACGCAACATCAAGAATGCCGACACAGTGTTTGAATTCAATCACTCATTCAGCAAGGAGCAACCTTTTGCATAAAGAAAACACTATCAACAAATTGACAGTTTCATTTTTTTTTTTTTTTTTTTTCCACAGAATATGCAAAGACAAAGTCTTGATGATTTCACCATGAAAATTTCTAGCTTTTGCTCCAACAAGAGTTCCAAAATGAAAGGAAACTAGAAAAAACATTCTGCAAACAAAAACGATGAGACCAAGCAATGTTCTAATTTAGGACAAACCGACTGCAAACAAAGATATCGCCTTTATCTCGAACGATCGGTAATGAGACAGCAGAAAATAAGTTATTTATTGTCAATTGACCTCCATTAATAGTTGGAAAAAAGAGTACAGCTTTACCTTTTCCCCCAAAGTTATAGGGAAACGAAAATCCTCATAATCGCGCACTCATCAGCTCCGTGATCAAGCAAACAAATTCACTTAAGCCCAATAACCAAAACCCTAAGTCAACAAAAAGTATGATCGGAAAATAATTACCAGGGTCGGAAAATCAGGAGGAGGACTGAACGGCCGAAAGATCGGGCGACTATCCTCGTTTTGAAAATCTTGAAATCGGATCAACTCAGGAAGCCGATCACCGGTAAACCCAACTGAAATCAGCAAGTTATCTGGATTTCAAAGAGCAAAATTATGTTTATCTGTAGCCAACAGTAATTCCCAAAGAGTTCAAAATTGTTGGAGAAAAGAGGATTAGGAAGAAGGAATCCCTAGGCCCTATTTGTGTTTCATTTATGGGCCTGATGCTAAATTCAATAATTAACTTATTTTGATCTCATCAACTGGCCTATTAGCTCAGCTGGTTAGAGCGTCGTGCTAATAACGCGAAGGTCGCAGGTTCGAGACCTGCATGGGCCACAACAGTTTTAAATATTTTACCTTTTTTTCTGTTTTGTCTCTTTCTTTTCTCAAAATTACAAGTTCGGCCCAAGGTTTTGAACAATTTTCACTCATTACTTTTTGTCACTGCAGCTCTGCTGTGTTCTCAGGTTCCATTTTCCGTTGTCGCTCTAATCAAATGGCCATCCTTAAATTTCTCGCCTTATATTTCTGTCTACTTTCAATTCTGACCCATATCCCCAATCCATCTGTGGCGGCGGCGGTTTCTGTCGACGCCGTAGCTCGGAACAAAATCCGCCGAGAAAAATCACGCGGGGCCGACACGAATACCAGTACCCTGAAAAACGCCGATCGGGTCGACCCGAAACGCGGATGCGGGGATATGGGCACGAGATCCGAATGCGGTTCGAACCCGAGGTGCAGGTGGTGCCGGAGCGAGGCTCTGGACGACACGTGCTTCTCCAAATCTGAAGCTTGGAGGCTGCCGTCACAGGTGTTCTCTTGTGAATTCTGATCGAATAAAATAATAGTTTTTAGTTGTTTTTGTATGTTTTGAGTTGATTTTTTTTTGTACTTATCAACTGATTGAAGGACTTCCCTTTCGTGTTATGAGCTTTTTGCTTTTGCTGCTGTTTTGGGGTTTATTTATTGTCTGGTTTTTTAACATCGGTATTGTGTGGTTAAATTGCCTTATGATTGGTTTATTTGTGAACTAATCTGTGTTGTGATCATGTTTGTGAGCTCGGCTCGTAGTTCGTTTAGTTAGAAAATAGAAATATTTATGTAAATTTCTATAGCTCGATCTGAGTTGGGGACAGATGAACCGAGCACGAGTTCGGCTTGTTTCGTTGTTTTCTGGGATTTAAATATAAGAAAAATATTAGTTGTCGAAAATTTCGTTTGCAGCGTTTAAAAATCATAGCTTTTAGTTGTTTTTGTATATTTTGGTTGATTTTTTTTGTACCTATCGACCGATTGAATTTTGAAGGACTTCCCTTTTGTGATATGAGCTCTTTGCTGCTGTTTTGGGGTGTGTTTATTTTCTGGTTTTAACATCGGTATTCACTGAATTTCCTTATGATTGGTTTATTTGTGAACTAATTTTTGGGGTGATTAGAGCTGTTAAATGATATCAATGTGTGATTATGGATTAGAATATCCTTTAGTCTTTACAGCAACTGAGCAAGGGAGCTTGTCCTTGTTTAAGTTACAAGCGGCAAAATCGAACTTCAATTATGTTTGTTTGTTTGGTCCCTTAAGTGAGAAATTAGTTGGAAAATTGCCATAGCGCAATTTATGGGTTCTTGAACTAATGTCGATGATATAAGTATAATTGAAGTCTTAACGATTGCTAGTTGAAGTCATATTACGAGATGGCTTGTTTATGGTTTTAGGCTGCTGTGTCTTGTGTGAAGTCATGCCAATTTTTTACTCGGTTTTGGGGTATTTATTAGAATTCGCAACACGAATGCCTCGTTTTGTAGTCCGATTTTCTGTGTAATGTAAGCGTCTTTACAAGTCTTTTCCCCTTGGCGAACAATAGCGGCATATGAAGAATTGGAGATCCTCTTATCAGTTTAAGGTTATACTTTGGTAAAACTAGCTGATAAGCTAACTTATAATTTATAAGTAATTTTCGAGCTGCTTATAACAGATTGTGAAGTTTTAGCTGCTTAAGTGCTTATCATCAGAATTTCGAGATGGACTCTGTAATAATTTAAACAATATCCTCCATTTGCGAGAGTCCAAGAGTGGCCTGCTAAGTGCTCAGTTTGCTACAAGAAAATGGGAGCCCGTTATTTAGTAATTTGTTATTGGGCCTAGTAACTTTTAATTATTTGGGATTGTTTTGCTGAGTTGGGCAATTAAAGCATTCTACTGGCTCACAATAAAGTGAGTCTCACAATAAATAGGACACGTGACAAACTAAATTTCTAAAAGTGGATTTGGTTTTAACACTAGTAAGTTTAAAATCTGATCTTATTTAAGAAAATAAGATATTATAATTATGTAATCAATCTTAAATACAGAATGTGAATTCTCATATGCTTATCAATGTAGCGTTTCAAATAAGACCATTGAGATCTTTATTTCAGCAAACTTACCAGTTAATCTACCAAATACTTGAATTATATGAGCTAACATTTCCATAAACAACTAGAATTTATTTTATAATCTATTAATTAATCCAAGTGAATAAGATTAATTACTCCAGTCCTATGAATCAAATTCAAGTGAGGTGAGAAGAAGAAAATAGAGCAATTCAATTGGAACGTTAATTTGACTTGTATAGAATGTACGAACTGACCCATGAGTACTTGTTTCATGTTAACATTATAGCATGAGCAAATTCATTTTTATTTTTCTTATGAAATCTAAAGTTATGCATTAAGCTGTTTTCAAGTACATGAATTGATTTGACTCAGAAAAGTGGAAGCCCTGAGAGTATGATTTCAATGTGTAAAAGTTTAATGTGAGTTTTACTGTTTTAGATATGTACTACCTACTTATATAATGTATGTTTTTGTTTGTTTATTGGAAAATGCTATAAAGTACATAATAAATGTATATAGAGGTGTACATAACACTTATATGGAGTGGGGTCCACTTAATTTTTTTTGTGGGTCCCACTCAATGTGAGTTTTATGTACACTCATATGTACAATATTATGTACTTATAGCATTTCTCCTTATTTATTTAACTCCGGTAGACTGGTACTGTTTACTTGTTTTGATTGTCTGTAATTCTAATTAGCGTGATAGAAGTAGTCCATTGAAGTATTTAAATCGTGACGGACCGAAACAAAAATAAGTAAATAAATATTCAATAAAAAGTAACTTTAATTCTGTTTAATTAATTATTTTTTATTGTGCTAATTCAAGTCTTAAAGTCCACGAAAGCCATGTTCAAAATTTCGTTGTGCAATTTGCATCTGTAATAATTTTATGAAAGGAAGTTGATGTCATGCGTAAGTTACACATTGAGAAGGAGGAATTTTATTACTAAAACATCTCTCACAAATTCTTGTATGAGACGGTCTAACTGTTTGGCGGATCAGCCCGTTATATTTTTTTTACAAACATCCATACTTACGCTACAAAATGTTATACTTTTATTTATATTGTCTTTTAGAGTATATAACTATAACATATTTCATTATATATATATACATGTGTATGTTGAATAAATGTAAGTGTCTAACCATTAGTCATGCAGAACAGTAAGCTTATGCATCTTCACAAAATCTCACCTAAAGAGAATGCAACTAATCTGCACTAGTAAGATAATATAAATTAGA